AAAGAAGAAAAAAGTATTGATGTGATGGAAAATATTATTTAATTGAAGAATGAGTGGTTGAAAATGAGAATTGATTTACTGTAGAAAATGAGAATCTGTACCAAACAGGCCCTTGATCCCCGGATTGAAGTTCTGGATAGGGGTGTCGTTATCAATTGCGACGCCGCTGCATAATTCACCGCTGATATTCCATTGATCATTAGCCGAAATGCCCCATCGCTCGAACATGGAGTTTATAGCTCTCGCTGCATGTCATAATTGCATTCTTCACTAAATTTTCCATCTTCATCAATGGCAGTTATTGGGTATCAATTGTTGTCAGTGGTTAAGCAAAACGCTACTCAGCATTTTGACTACAAATTATACAATTTGACAGTTATTAGGGGTGGACAAAATGTACCAAATCAAACCAAACTAGAACCAAATCAAATTGAATGGTTCGGTTCGACTCTAAAAAAAGAATTTATGGATTTGGTTCTTTTTGAACAAAGAATCATTTGGTTACTTGTTCTATAATCGAGAACCGGAACCCAGAACCTAACTTTATGTTTAATTTTATTTTTTATATATATTAATTAGTGGAGGCAGTCAATTAATTAAATACAGTCCATTAATCGATTCTAGGTCATTAGAGACAGCTTATTAATTATGTACATCATAATTTTGTATTAATTTAAATCATTTCTCCTTCACTCCTTTTCATTTTATACAAAGCCGCAGCACGTTAGCACCACATTTTATCACGTCAATGGAGGAAACTCTTTCAAGATCTAAAAATGAAATTGGTCAGCCACTTAAAAAACCTTTAAACTATTATTTTACCTTACGAGTTTGATGAATTATTTGTGTTCTTGACAAATAGAGAAAAATTCAATAAACATTCATGGAGTATTAAACGATTAATGGTTGTCCGTAAAAGTGGATCGTAAAAGTTTTGCATGATTCATCTTTTATTGTGGAGGTGTGCTGTCAAAACTGCTTTTGTAAATTATTGCTATTACTTATTAAACAATTTTTTGTACGAGAATGAAAACCAATTTGTGTATTCAAATTATTATTATATTTTATTTGTTAGTTTGGATTTTTGTGATATTGATGATTGATAATTTGAATTTTCTGAATGGTTGATGTTTATTTTTCATTTTTATTTAGATATAAATTACTAACATATAGATATGATACAAGTCTGAAAATTTAATAAATGAAACTAGAACCATACCATACCAAACCAAAACAAATCAGAATCGAACGATTCGACTCGGTTTGGTTCCATATCTTCGAAAAAAACATTTGGTTCCATTATAAAAAAAATCATTGATTCATGGTTCGGTTCGGTACTCTTGAAACCAAAACCAAATGGAACAATATCTACCCCTAGTGCTTAAGATTACCTTTTTATTTCTATTCAAAATAAGCCCCTGATTGATTTTGGTAAAAAAATGATAAAACTTGAGGCTTGAAAATATAAAAAATGTAGATTTTACAAATGTAGGGTTAAAATTACTTTGAAAAAAAAAAAAAAAACAGGGGCTAAATTATTTTTTTACATAATTTTTTTATTGAGCCCTTGTTTAGTATGGATTAAAATCTAAATTTTAATTTAAGTCAAAATCAATAATTAATTTTAATCACATATTTTATAGGATTTATAACTTTTCAATCACGCATTTAATCAACTTTTATCAAAACATAATAAAAATTTAATTTTAATCTCCACCAAACAAGGACTAAACAAGTAATTTTCAAATTACAGTCCTAGAGAGCAACCTTCGATAGGGAAATGATAAAATGGAGTCCGGAGGAAAAAATCGTACATAAAGCAGAAAAGAAAATAGAGTATAACCTTTAGGGTCCGTTTGATCGCAAATGTGGAAAATTGGTGGAAAGAAAATGAATTCCAGGGAATTGAATTGCCTAAAAATTGTTTTACTGAAAATTGTAATTAATTGTGTTTGATTGATTTAATTTTTTACCTGAAAATTGTTGAAAGTTTG